TAGAAGGGTACCTCATCGAGGAGGGTCTAGAGAAAAAAGACATCATACCAGGAGGCATCGATGGAATGGCAGACGGAGCCAGCTGATGTCATTTAGAATTAAAATATGAGTCATTATACAAGGTATCAGTTATTTGGTTCATAAAGTATGATCTTCCAACATTCGTGCAAGAGTCGACATGAAATTCTTTTAGCAATACTGGCACCCCAGAAAGCATGGCAGCTGAAGCCAAGATTCTCTGAAATTCAACTGAACTGCTGAGACCGTGGCAATATGTACCGAACTTGTAGCAGTTTTACCAAACTTTCGCCACTGAAACCGAAAATCTCCACTCCACCTTATGAGTGATGAGCCTTTCAGGGTGTGCAGAATTCCAACAGAGATTTATAAAATCAAAAGTAGCATTAAGGTGATTCGTCAAGCTCAAGTGACGTGGTCAAACTGGCATGCGATATATCGCATCTTTTAGGTAAAAAATCTCGGCAGATTTTGAATTTTTAGCAAAAAAAAGGACGATAGCCCTTGTGCATGAGCCTGAAGAATCATTTGAAACCCAAAAATCGGCGAAATTCAGAGAAATGAAAGCAGAATAGAGTTTGGAAAAAACCTCGCATTTGAAACAGAAATCGATAGATGAATCAATTGCGAGGTTTTTTTCCAAACACTGTCCTGCTTTCATTTCTCTGAATTTTGCCGATTTTTGGGTTTAGAATGATTCTTTAGGCTCATGCGCAGGGGCTATCGTCTTTTTTTTTGCTGAAAATTCAAAATCTGCCGAGATTTTTTACCTGAAAGATGCGATATATCGCATGCCAGTTCGACCACTTCTTTTGAGCTTGACGTATCACCTTAAAAGGGAAGGGAGTCTGCCACGCCACAAACAGAAATCATGGTTTCCCACTTAGGCCATCAATATATGTGAGAGCACCTCGGAGGTACATAATCCTTGCCCAACATGTTGCTTCTATAAAGCCCAATTTATACTATCAAAATTATTATCCAACTCTTGGATGCAACTTGTCAAATGAAAAGTTGAGTAATGTGATACTGACAAGAGAAATCTACAATTTGATGAAAAATTCAACGAAAACTTGAATGTGACGTCACATTCGCCGATTGGATGGAAAGCTGAACGAAAAATTGGAACGAGATCTTTCGACCGACATGAGCCGAAGCTGTACCTTTGCGAACTGCAGGCTGATGACAACATCACACAGCAAAAGTAGTCGAATCAAATTTTTGACGTCCAACTTTCCATCCAGCTTTTCGTTCAATCATGTCGGACAAAACGTTTGATAGTATGAATTGGGCTTAACAATCAACTGTTTACCCACTAGGCCTGATGAGCGTAGAGCACATGGACTGTATTGTGCGCAGTTGCGGTAACAAATTAAGATCCACGCAGTAGACAAACAAAATGTCTTTGATACTAAGAAATTTGCATGTCTAATGGCTGGGGCTGAATAAGAATGATATATTTTATGTACTATCTAATAATTTGTTGGAGTATATGACAATTGAAAATTCATAAATTGTAACGATGACCTAGTATCAAGCGACTTCGAACATTTGGTCTCGTTTCAAATCGGAGAAGAAAATTCAATCGAAATATTCAAATAAAGATGAAAATGGAGCGGTCCATGCCCTACAACTGTTTCACTTACCAAGCCTTGTCGGCTACTTATCTACAGATAGCTTCACTATCAACACGGTCAACAAAGCTGAGAGGCTCTAGCGAGTGAAGTAGAATAGGGATTAGTTGAGATTGTAACGCAAAAGATATAATTATGACTTTCAAATATTATATGGAGGCACATTATTGAAGGACCCAAACCTACCAGAAAAATTGAGCTACGTCAAAATCGCATCATATCCCTGCTTAGTGCTCAGTTGATTGATAGGTTACATGGGCAAACACTTGGCAGTCAAGATAGGTCAATAGGCTGTCTTGCTTTCGGCGAAAATTCATAAATTTAGTGACACGGGAATGGAAAAAAATAAATAGGAAGTAATTAGATAAAGAGAATAAGCGACTCACCAAGCTAATTACAAAATATGAGAGATTAAACTATGAAAATCCATGGTGAAAACATCGCATTATCGCACTACAGACCCCGAGAACGGATGTTTGTGATTAGGACTAGGACTGGTTCACAACGTTCAGCGTCAGCAAATCTGTATGACTTCAGAAGCCCTGCGTACACGTGCCAAAGCTCGCGCCGAGAGGTTTTTTAGTCTCTGCGCATTCGCGCCTGATTTTAAATCTTGAGAAGTGGCTCAAGCAAGAAAAGCAAGATGATGAATCTCGTTTGCCTTTAAAAGCTTTCAAAAGTTTGCCGAAGGACTTATCGATTGCCAAAGTGCAAAACCACGTATCTCCGTTTGCGACGTTGCAGACTTCTTGTCATATTTTAATTTTCTTTGGAATAAGTAATATACACATCATACTTATTTAAAAACTTCCTTGATTTTTCTGCTCTGATGGCAAAATATTCTATATAAAAATTGGCTTGTTCCTCTGAGAAAAAATAAAATAGGGGCAGAAATTTTGCAACACCGCAGTGGGGATATGTGGTTTTGCACTTTGGCCATCATCATAATGTGGTATTCTTGAGAAATAAATTAAAGCTACAAAACCTGATGTCATACTTGCCGCAATGATGAAAATCGTAATAATTAATTCATCTGAAACTTTTCCAGTTGTACACATTTCATCCATTCTGACACACTCAAAATAAAGTTTAAAAAGTGGATTCATAAACTGCATGGTAGAGAGGAGGGGGTTGGAACGATCCTAATGTAGATAAAAGTTATAAATCTCGAAATATCTAGGTACTTTGATTTTCGTACAATTCCATTGTGATTCTTTGCACAAGTGGCTAGGAGTAAATGAGGATAGGAATCAGTATCATCTTGCAACTTATTTTGCTAGTTATGAAAGGCTTACCATCAAAGTTCGGATCATGAAGGATGATACCAAAGACTAATACGACTGAACACTTTGAGAATTTAGTGAAACTAGAAAAACTTGAATTTCCATTGGCAACAAAGCAAACTTCCTAAAGCATTTATTTAAAAGAAAAAATAGCGACAGGTTTTAATAAATGAACCAAAACTTTTCTAGAATGATCCAAAAAAAAAAAAAAAAAAAAAAAAAAAAAAAAAATCTAAAGATTTCGTGCGAAAATGTTGCCAATTTAGTTCTTTTATAGTACACCTGACCCTCTACAATGGTAGAGCACAAAATTACATAATATCATAAAATTTAAGGACTTTTGATCAATTTTATTGAATGAAGTAAAGGATGTTCGAGGACTTAGAGGGGTGAAAAAAATTTAAGAACACGCATGATTTTTTTAAGGCTTTAAAAACCCTGAAATCACCTTATTTATATTAATAATTGAAAAAATATGGAGCAGTGAAGAAAAAAATTCAAAAGTTTGTATGAATATTTTATTTATTTTACTTGAAATAAATAGGTAGTAGCAATTCATAAAAGTTTCAACATTGATTATAATTCATGGACATTTTTTCATCACGATCAACAGAACGGCACTAAGGCGCATCACTGCAACCAACGGAGTTCTGGGCTTGAACAGTTGAAAAGTATTACCACCGAAATTTTTAGCACCACTGAGGGTTTAATTTTGAATTTTCGAAACTGCAAATGTTTTTTAAATCTTAGCTAGAAGAGGAAACTTTGCAGTGAGGGGTCATAATGTGACCTCAGACATGATAATGGGATATTTTGCGCAAATTAAAAGTAACTGAAAACTTAAAACTAAGCTATTTGAAGTTGGATTGATCGCAGTTTTAGAGCTGTTGAGGAGCCCTCCAGTAAAATTAAGGAAGCTGCAATAATCAATATTCGTCTCATTTTTCTTGGACTTGAGGTAAGCGCAAATGGTACGAGAAATTTTTTCTCTTATTTCATTCAATGTCGATTTTAATTACAAGAATATGCAATTGTCAAAATACCCCACCATTTGGAGTAAAACAAGGTATGTACTTGTATCAAATGAATTGCATTGGGCCAAATCTGCTTACGTCCATTTTTCCATTCTTGAGCCTTTCTAGGTTGATGAATACTTTATAGAGTTGGATACAACCATGGAAGTAGTGTGAATCCTCGTTTAAAAGTTATTTTACTATCAAAACCAGTATTCACACCATTTCCATGATTCTATCAACTCTTGAAAAGTATTATCATAAAAAAAAAAATCAAAGCTTAAAAAGTGGATGTCAGCAGTTTTTGCTCGATGCAGTTCAATCATGAAAACGATCACTCAGAGGTGAAAGATACTGAAAAATAGGGACGTTTACAATGGAATAGATTAAAAAAAGAAAAATTTCAAAAGAAAATACATTGAGAATAAAAAATAAAATTTACAGGTACTAACAGTGGAAGCAAATCTTGCCCCATATTTTGGACAGTTAAGACAATTAAATTTACAAATACAAGCAAGCTAAAGTGCCATGTAGACTCCAATGAAGCAAATTATCTTTGTTTTTGGTGCTTGGCTACTCTTATTTCTGTTGACTAATGTCTTTTGTAAGCAGCAAATAGAGAAAAAGGCTAATGATTGAGAAATTAAAGTAAAAATCAAGAGAAATATTGATATAAAGCATGGAATTTTTGGAAGAAAGAATACATATTAATGATCTTATTTGAAGCTGAGGGGCCGTTCATAGGATACATAATGTTTCAGGAGGAAGGAGGATTCTAAGCCTGTAATACAGGGAGAGGGCAGGCGTTCAGAGCTGCATTGCATAACGCTACAATCTGCGCCGAGCACTGATTTTGCGAAAACCCAAACAACAGCACAATGAGGCCATTTTTAATCCAAAATTCATCACAAAACACCATTTCGAAGAAAAGGTTGAACTACTCATTACATAATTTGTTTTAGGGGGTACAGTTGTGTTACAGATACATTATGAGGAAGAGGGGGTCACAAAATCCAATTAACGAATATGTATTTTATGAACAGCCCCTTGGCTACAAATAATGTAAATGTGAGCAACGTTGTTTTGCAGAATTTTCAGGGCAATGTCGTAGTTGACAATGATTGCAAGAGGAAACTTTTTGAACAATTTACATCACCAAAATGTGAATCATAATATAATCTTTCATCTGTTACATTATTGTAGCTGTCTGAGAGTCAATTTAAAATTTCAAAGTCACGTTGAGTAAAGCTTGTAACTCACACAAAAAGTAAAAATTTTATGTCGTGGATATACAGATTTCTAGAACTCTACGTAACTGATGGCATTAACGCTAACTGTTGCAACGAACTACAACAGAATAATTGCTTCAGTCTTAAATTTGAGAAAAACAAAAGTCAATTATACACTAGAGTCTGGATAATTTAAAACACTGCTCGAGTATTTTGATGCATGCAGAGGTTGCATAAGCTTAATTTGTTAGATACCAAAGAAAAATACATACCAATTGTAGATGATTGGCTCCATTTATAAAATTTACACGTATGCCTTAAATATGAGATTATACAACACTTAAAACTGTAAGTATTTTATTGGAAGAACATTATGAAAATGAAAGTCAAATCAGAAAGGTAACTGCCAGTTATACAATGTTTGTAGAGCTTTGGAATTGATTAGTCAGAAAGGAGTAGAAGTATAAAATATTAAAAAAGGGAAAAAAATAGAATGAAAGGAACAGCGGAAGAAAGAGAGAACATAAAATAACCTTTGTGCCTTTTCCTGATGAAACAGGCAAAGTAAAATTTTCTATTTGTAGTCCTCTGCAGATTTGGGACAGCACAACTCTAGAGAATAAATTTAATTTGGATGCATTACTGTATCGCTAAATCGTTTTTTTTTTTCTCTCCTTTCCACTTCTTTCGGCTAAATGCAATATGTATTTCATTAAATTATAAAAAAATAAAAAAAGGAGGGAGCAATCAAAAGTATGAGTCTCCATGAGAGATAACCTATAAATTACAATGAGTTTAATGAACAGTAAAAATTATATACATACAAGCAGTAATTGAATCTTTAAAAATGATAAGAAAGCAAATATTTTGAGGGGGTAAAGTAAGTAATTTTACTTTGATCAGATTTGAGATCAAAATTAAGACAAATAGAATGCATCGAGGGGAATATTGAATTTTGGAAACATAACAGGACTCCCTATCATCAAGCCCTTCAGGCAATACTGAGGGGTGCAGAATCTTAGAGGCTTTCACATTTTTCTCATCGGCATTCCACAAGATTTCCCGATCTTTCAAAAATTATGATCTATTTCTTCTTTTTTCCTGCAACTTTTCATCTTTAAGGATTTTCCCTCCTTTCACAAGTTTCAAGACCTTTTCACTTTTTCATGCCCCCACCTAGGGACGTAGTTGAACGTTTTCTGCACCCCTGCAAAAAGTTAGTATCAAGAAGGAAAATCATTGAAAAAAAAACCGGCTCTAATTTTTTAAAAAGGTACCGTAATTCACCCACATACATTGCAACAAATAATTTGAAAGAGGAGTGGATTTTAAAGAAAATTACACCATGCAGCAAGACAGAAATATTAAAACAGAGATACTTTGTAGCCTCTACTAAGAGACTTCTAATTTCCATTAATTTGGCACTTGAATTGTAAAATTATCAGTGGCGTGACTTGCTTCGCGATTAATCGATTGGTCTGCCATTTACACCTATAGAAAAGGATCGACAAACAGGGTGTTTGCAACAAAAGCCTTGATGATCAGTTCTTTACCACAGTTTTAAATGGGGAACCATCGATAATTGATCATTCTCGCCTGGCCACTGAAAATTATTCTTGAACTTTTAAAGCATACATCTCCTGATGTTGCAGATGTTTTACTATATTTTACTTCTATGAAGGACGAACAAACTTTGATAAATTTTGAGTAATGCTTTTACGCCCTTCTAAAGATTCACTCTGAAAATTACTCGCAAAAATATTGACGAACAGTCTCTTGGAAAAATAAAGTCAGAGTGGAAAATTTGAAACACCCACTTCAGATAGGTGTTTTTATAGTTTCACTATTGGAAACCATCTTAAAAGAAATGTTTTTAACTTTTTTATATATTTCTCAAAGAAAAAAGTGCAAGAAAACAAGTGTTAAAACAATAAAACCACAGGTGCGTGCTAACACGATTTTCATCAAGGCTAAAATCACAACCATGATATCAAACTGCTTTAAGATTCGGACACTGGAAATGCTTAGGGGTTATGTAAGTCTGCTATTAGCTGCAGTATTGAAAAGTCGACCTTTTCAATTTTATGCGAATACAACCAAAAAAATCAGCCCTTTTTTTAGTACTATGATTGTTATAAGGAAAAAGGTCAACATAAGCTACAAACTTAGCAATAATTGTGGATTCTGCTTGCAAATTTATCATTTTATATACAATATGTTAAGAATATACACAAAAAAATTGTCATTCAAGTGATTAAAGAATGGTAAGACATAGTGAGTAGTTACTTTTACGGTTAATAATTCAACCAACTGATAAAGATTAAATCAGACTGTTTTGAATAAAAACAATAAAAATAGGGACAGTCAAAATATCTTGAAATTTTCTCTCCTAGAACTTAACAGCTCTATTATGTATGTGAAGTTTCTTTAGAATTTTGACGGAATAAATTGCAATATCCAATTATTCATTTTCCCAAGAGTGCGATGAATTTAAATAGGAATAGGAGGCAGATCAGACTAATATAATAGTCATATTTCTCCCAATGTAGACAAGAGGAAAACTGTTTAAAATCTAGATCTTATACAATTTCAAGAAGGATTTCAGTCTTTAATAATAACATACTTTGACAAGAAAATCACAAATTTAATTGTGTTACTTTTTCATGATCAAGGAACAACCAATGAGAGAGCAGTGGAGAAAAGTGAGGTTAGAAACCTCCGAGCAATTTTTGGCATTTACGTACTTAGAGTCTGTTCCGATTGCTCCCTATCAAAACGAGTAAAAATGTTACAATAGTGTTACCATATTGTGCAAAAATTATTTTTCATCAGATAAGTCCCGCCTACCAACAATCAGTGACACTCACACAAGTTAGGAATGTTCTGCATTGTTACAAAAAAATTAAGTAGTTACAATTAGCCAAATAAAATAAAAAGAAATCGGTTTAATTCCAAATTTGACTAAAAGAGACTATAGCTACTTAGCGAACATGACGTTCCCATTGATAGATGTGGGAGACTTTAATGCCTTAGTATTGAGCCCTTCTCATATAGTTATCTTATGAAAATTTAATTATGTTCACCGTTGTTTTGCATGAAAATTTGAGCTGAGAACACACAAATTGTGTAACATGAATTCTCATTTTATTTAGTATCTCATTTCTTGAAAAGACTGATTTTACATCAAACAATATAAAAATGAAAACCTAAAATTGTAAATGCAACTTGACACTTTCCCCTGTACTTACACCCGCAAAGGAAAGAAAACAGTGCAACTTGAAAAAAATCAGATGGCTGAAACTATTTAACAAATAGAAATAAACGAATAAAAAAATTGGAGTTATGCATAAAGCCAGGGGGACCTGGGACTTCGTTAAACACGAATGAGTTATTTACTTTTTTGGCTTGGGTACTGACGCTCGCTGATCTTCCATTCTTCCTGACTGCAGTCTCATGATGAGTGAGAAGAAGTCTTCATCCGGCACGGTGGCGCCTCGGTTGTTCTGGTTGAGCTGGGGTGGTAGAGAGGCACCATCCTCTTCCTGCGGTAAGGAGCTGCGTTGATCCTCTATTCTCGCTCCTTGGCACCGCATCAACATGTCCAAAAAGTTGTCATCTGGCATCGAATCATGTTGTTTCGATCCTGGTGGACACAGGCCAGGTAGGTGTGGAAGAGCCACACGCTGTTCATCCATTCTCTTGCTCTGCATACCCACGATTAAATCGATCAGATCATCTTGAACATCACCTGGAAACAAAAGACTCGCCTTAAAAATTGATCGAGAGTAGAGGATAATGATAACGCTTGAATTTGATGGTGGTTATAACTGTGTTATAATTATAATGGTATTTGATACAAAACGAGACAGAGGGATTGAAGAGAAAAAATTTTAAACAGCAATTGAATAAGTCAGTGTATGAATGACCAATTTCTGATGGGGGTGTTCAAATGAATTCTTGCCGGAACACTATTGACATCTCTCTTATTGAAACTGGCGGCAGTACCGACAGTGGCGATGATATCGACAACAGCCGGCCTTATCGGAGTTTTGAGAGCTCGCACTCAATGCATTGTTGCCCCGTGTGTCGGTTTTTCAGATTGCCTGGCGCGGCGGTGCGTAAAATAGATGTACAAATGGCAACAGCTTATTTTCACCAGCTCCGAAAACTCTAATCGCTATCGGCAAGAGCGCTCTTATCGTAACTTTTTCTTAACGGAACTGTTTCGGTAGCTTACCGACAACCGATAGAACAGCCTGAAAGCCGAAAGTGATTGTTTTTGGTGTATTTTCCAAAAGGCAATTAACTATGTATTTATACAATTAAATTAAGCACAAACAGTAAAATGTGACTTTTCAAAGATTTTTTCTTCCCCCCCCCCCAAAAAAAAAATGTTTGGCTCTTAAAATTAGAGGTAATCAATCACCAAAACTTGGCTTAAAAATGAGGAAACTACAACCAAGGGAATTAAAGAAGAAAAGCGTTGCACTGGTGGTAGACAGTCTTAAGCTAGGTTTTTCCATTTTAGCATTCTTATGTTTATTCAACTCCTAACTTTAAAGAGAGTTTTGGTCCTTGATCTATAACAGTTTTAGTGTTCCGTTAAGAGATCTCCAATAAATTAGTGTAAAATTTGAGCATTAATGAATCAATGCATGAAACTTAATTCTGCGAGGAATCACCCCAAGACCACTTTCAGAGGAACAAATAGAATATGCTACGAACCATTGGTGTTTGTGCTCAAAGTTGGTGCAGTGTTATTGTTCAAGTTTTCTTTGTTCTCACTGTTGCCAGCTGTACTTAAAGTAACCGGAAGTGAATGGTATTCTTCAGTTTCTTTGTTGGTTTTCGAGACAGCTAAAGAGCACCTTTGATCGTCCATTCTCTCAGACTGGAATTTTGATAGAAGTTCAAAGAACGATTCTTCCTCCCCAGTGTCAGTCTAAAAACCAAAAGCAGAGAAAAAAACTTTAAAATTTGGACTTCAAATTTTGTGCTTTGCAAAGTGACCACGAAAGCCAAATCATAGGAAATCAGAAACATTTTCCTTCCATATTTACAAAGGAAGAAACATTAAAAAATTTACTTAATGGTTGTGAAAAAGTTCAAAACTTTGGTTGAAAAGTGGGAATCGTCAGAAATGAATGGGTTTGTGTTCCTGTTAATATGAAAATCTGTGAACGAATATAGATTGTCCAATAGATAGTCCAATGATTGAATACATATAGATGGCTAAAGAGCGAAACCATGAGGCTCCATTGCGGTATTTCTAAATCTCCGCTCTTAATTCACTTTTTCAGAGAGCAACAAGTCAGCTTTACACCCCGATATTGATCCGGAATATTTTGCTAACAAGAAGGAAAAATCAAGGAACTTTTCAAGATACTATGTACATTCTTTAGTTTTTCAGGGGAAAAATAAAGTATTTGAGGAAGTCTGCAACGTCACAAGCGGATATGTACCGACGAGAAAAGAGGCTTTCATTTTAATATGACTAGAATGGAATGTTTTCGTGGTCAGGGAGAAATTTTGTACTGACAATGAAATTACAGTTTCTTTCCACAAGAAGCATTAAAATGATTGACCAACAATGGAACGAAATAAATACGTTGTAGTATCTTCAAGTTTTTACGTTTTGGCTAAATAAATTAAACCTGACAATAGAACAAGCCAAAAAGTATTACGTATTTATTTTCAATATTTCTTTACATATTTCCTGCTCTCATTCCATGTGAAGAGCAAGAGATACAATCAAAATTTTAAAAAAAAAATCTGAGAGATAGACAAGAGCAACTGCAGACAATATTAGGTAAAAAAGAAAAATTGATGACTTCATTCATATTTGGCCAATTTGCGTTCAATTTTTTTCAGTTACAGGTACTAGGACTCGATTTAGCTACAGCTGTAATCAGACTTGATTCCAGGATGACTTAATTCTTAAATATTAACTTACCTTGGCATTCGGTTTGAAATGTGCGTTGGAATTAGATTTGCCATCCGGAGTCAGCTGGAAAAGAAAAACAAGCATGAAGTCAACAAGTAAATAACATTCAGTTTTTTTAGTTTTGAATGATTAATTCTGATCTTGATGGGGCTGTGAAACTAAAATGGATGAAACTTTTCCCTCATTTATCAGTGGCTGATTTTATGAAATTATTGAAAAATCGTACTCTTACATCCTGGTGATTCACGAAATCAGTTGCTTGGCATTATTATTCTTCCTCATTAGACAAGCACTTTAATTTCCTAGAGAAATCATTTATGACATCATCAGGGCACCTAACATTGGGCTACTGGGACATTTTTTGATGATATTACCAAGACGGCTGTCAATGTTGTGATCGGGGAGCCCAGTAGGTAACGGCACACGATCAAACAGTGCTATAAATGTATCAAGGTCAGGTCGCATTCTACAATATCTCAAAACCTAATTTTTTATAAAAAAAACTGAGTAGGTGCCTCCTTAAAATAAATGCCTTAGTCGGAACACACTTACATCCTGTCCGGTAAAGAAAATTAATGCATAATCTAATTACATTTCTACAACTCATCATGTTTTCTCAGATTTTGATCTTGTGCAAAGTATTAAAGCAATACATACATATATGCGTGAAACTTTAGAGGGCGTGATCTCTACAGAAGGATAAAAATTGCCAAAATTTTTAGACAGAGACAATATTCACAGAAAAAATTAGATGAAACACCATGAATTTCCAAAACCACGCAATGAGGAGATGCTTACAAGCAACATTTAACTGCCTGAAAGTTGAAATCACTTTGGATTATGGTGAAAAGTCGAGAATCATTAGAGGCTGCAAATTTACAATGTTGTAAGCGTGGAGCAAAATTTATCTGTACAAAGACAATGTTTACAAAATTTGGAGCTTTCATAATCCATAACCATGTGGCTACCACGAGAGATAATGTACACATACGATTTCTTTTCCATGTTATTGGTTTGAAGAACTATCAAAGCTTCACAGGAGGCTGATATCCCCACAACAGTACCCTTAATACACATGTTAAGATGAAAATTTGCAATTTTCACAAAAAATTTAATTGCATAATGAGGGATTCAGTTTTCACTTAGAAAAAAGAAGGACCATCTATTTTTTAAGACGACTAGAAACTTGACGTTAAAACTTTTTTCAGACATTGGACTGTGCAAAATTAAACACTTTTGGACCTCAGCAATGAATAGTTCTTTTATATTGAAGAAAGTCTTCAATGAGAATATAGGCGAAAAAAATGAGGAGAACACATATTTACAGGGAACAACAGACAACAAAAACACATCCGTGCACAACACCAAAAGAGCAACAATCAAGCCAAGAAATCTACCTTGTTTCATGATGTACTTCAAAATGAGTAAGAGGTAATGGTTTTTTCCGATGCTATCATGATGATTTCTCTATGATGTTATTGGTTTGCGAAACTAACAAGGCTTCACGGTAGACTGAAATCCCTAAGACAGTACCCTTAAAGCTGTCTGGGACCTTCTTACAAAGAGCAGAATTGAAAATGAACTAAAAGATCAGAGGAGCCTCCTGGCGCGCATATCAAAATTAAGCGTTTTGAAAGTATTTGAATTTTTCTTGAAGATAACTAATTTTCAGAAACTTTCAGTTGCAAAAGGAAGCAAAAAATGCATAATAATAATGGGACTTAGTAACTTGTTGTTAGAGGAATTCCTTTAGGGGGAGGGGTACTGATGATAATCGCCACAGAATTTAGAAAATGAATGTTCTTGACACATTTTGGTGAAAGTCCCTGACAATTGAGGATATGCCACATAGTTAAAAAGACACAGTATGAAATAGCTTTCAGGCAAAATTTGTTTTGAAACGTCAACCCATCCTAGAAAACAAAACAAGGTGACTTAACCATTGTTCCTTGACTTTTTTGGCATATTCCCTAGCATTTTCAGGTTTTCCCTGACTGTGGCAAACCTGCCCTTTTAAAGAGGCATAACCTTCAAAGAGGGCTTCAACAAATACTTGGGTGAAATGACACAATATTTTGGTTTTTAGCTAGGAACCTAAAATAGCGAACTTGCTAACGACTAGAATAAATCATGTTTTCGGATACCACCTAAAAAAACAAAAAAAAAACAAAGCATCCAACAATAAGCGCATATGTTGGTTTGAGATAAGTTAGGGAGAAACTACAAAGCAAACTACAGCTACCTTGATTAGATCAAGCTGATCCATGCTGTGACGTCTCACCCTATATCGATGTACCGCTGGTGATGACTGATAGGTGTTTATCAGCTCCATGCTGTCGGGTGACAGTTCCTGGTCAGACATTCCCAATATTTTACGCAAATCCGTCACATTCATTTGTGCAGTGACTTGACCAACATTGTCACCTAACTGAAATTCATAACATAAAAACTGATTATCTCTACACCACGATCAAGAGCAATTACTCGCTGACGTATTCCTCCAGAGGCAAGCCTAAGATTATTGATGCTTGCATGAAGCATCAATTCATGCAAGCATTGATGAAAATCAACATAAATTGGAACACTGACTGCTTACTCGGGCCAACCTTTGAGAAATACCCCCAAAAACATCTGAATTAATCTCAAGCTTACTGCTGACTTTTTCCTGTATTTTTTCAAGACATTGGAATCTCTGCGTCACAAAAAAAGAGCTAATCGTAAATAAATGATCAACTATAGATATTCATGCTCTAAATATATAAATTTGTGCTCAGATGAATTTTCTCTCTCTATAATAAGATATTATTTTCAGACTGAATTTTGTAAGGACATTGGCGAAATCACCAACATTCCTGTCAAAATGATCGTGCGTCGAACCACTATCTGTTATAACAATGGATAATGTTTACTTTATGTTTGAAAGATTCTATAATAGAAGCGTATTTCATGGCTTCATAGCTTTAAGGTTAATGCTCAAAATAAAATCGCAAGGTCTGAGGCTCTAACTGTTGCTAAACCAGACGTCATTCTCTTACGGCGAGGAAGAGAATTGAGCATATTGAATTTTCACTGACAATTTGACTTAGGCAAAATCAGACTTTAGTCACCATATCATGATACAAAACAGATTTATTTACCCAATAAAAAATTAGAAATAATGATAGTATTGAAATTACTGTAAAAGTAAGAGAGTACAGTTTTGCTAAGGCTCTTGACACTAATCTTACGTGAAATTTGGACAGTTGGTTTTTCAGGCCAAATTGATCAAATCCTAAAGAGAAACAATGAGAGTTATGGCTCCTAAAAGATACAATTTTTTAATTTATCAAAACTGCCAGCGGACAGATTTAAAAATCAACTATATGAAATTCTGGCTGTTGAAGAAGTAGGTGAGGAAAAATTGAAGATATATGGTACCTCTTTTGAAATTTCTAAATGCTTTTTAGCAAAATATAGTGCTTTTTCATGGTTCCCCAAAGATGCATGAGCGTTTCCTAGACTCCAACATGCTCGTCCTGAAAATAAAAAACATATTTCTTAATGAAAATGACTGACCAGGAAAGTGTGCATAATATTGCTGGTTATGAGGAAATGATCTAACGGATTAATGAAATATTAATGTTGTAAGTTTTTGCATGTCAAATTTCTGCATTGGAATGCTGTGTCTCTCTTTCTCTCTTCTTGGACAAACTAATTTGGAACATATTTTCTGTTGATTATGTTATGGAATATTCAGTGAAAATTATCAATGGGTTGATATTTTCAATTTTATCATTACTACAAGCTCTCTGACCTAGGGGTGTTCAAACGAATTCTTGCCGGAACACTATCAATATCGTCTCTTATTGAAACTGGCAGCAGTACCGACAGTGGCGATGATATCGTTAACAGCCGGCCTTATCGGATTTTTGAGAGCGTGCACTCAACGCATTGTTGCCCCGTGCGTCGGTTTATCAGATTGCCTGCCGCGGCGGCGCGTGAAATAGATGTACAAATAGCAGCAGCTTATTTTTGTCAGCTCCGAAAACTCTGATCGCTATCGGCAAGAGCGCTCTTATCGTAACTTTTTCTTAACGGAACTGTTTCGGTAGCTTACCAACAACCGATAGAACAGCCCTACTCTGACCCCCTAGATTTTATTTTTGTGTCACAGTTTGTTCTACGGTCTACTGAAAACCATTATTCACAATTTAATAGAATCAATTCAAATGAATTACAGCTAACAATGTATAAATTATAAATTAAATTGAGGTTACCTTCCCCAACACGGTCTAATAACTGTTGGGCTATTATCAAATGTCTCAGATGGTATTCTATGGCCTGTTCATAATTTCGAAGAAGAGTATAAGTATTGCCAAGACTATAGCAGGCTTGAGCTTCGATTGCACGATCACCAAGTTCCTGAGCTAGAGCAAGCGTTTTCCTGAAAAAGGATGTAAAGATTGAAGACATTTTTTACATTTAAAGAAACTCTTCAAAACAGCATCAAACAAAATATAAACATAAATGTAAACATATAATATTGATAAGCCCAGTTAATACTTGAGCCTCCCTCTCCAAAAAAAAATACTTTCAAAAAGCAATAGTTTGTTTAGCTATTTTTTGAGCTTTTCCGTTATTTTCTGAAAAATTGGGAAGGGTTGTCAGTCCCATGTCATGTAAAGTAAAAGCAGGTGTACTGAATCTTTTAGGCTTTCACGTTTTCATAGGACTGCTTTCTCATAGGCTTTCCACAAAATTTCCGACAGATTTCAAGAATGAGGACCTTTCCGTTCTTGTTTTCTTTGATCTTCAACTTTGAAAACCCCTAAATTTGTCTTTACTTCCACATTTCCACGCGCCTAGGCGGGCACGTGATCTAACATTTTCAACCTGTTCAAAACAGGGATAAGAGGTTGTCTCACAGGAGTCTTGCAAGGAGGGAGAGAGGGAAAGAATTTTGGCCAAACTGGCTTACTTAATACTTGGTTTGAACCTCTGGGAAGATGAGTTGATAGAGATTTGATTTAGTACTAACTTGTAATGATCGGCAGCAGTTTCGAAGTGACCTAGGAATATGTAAGAATTTCCAAGATTGCTATTTGCCCGTCTTTCAGCTGCTTTGTCTCCAAATTCACGGGCAATTTTTAATCGCTGAAACAACAAAAAATGAGTTAATTTCAGGGAGCCATGTTGCACTAGATTCAAGGTGGTTGCAACCATAGGTTGTCGCCTCATAGAACATCAAAAGTTTCGAGCTGATGAACGTTCTACGTGTAACTTCTGCTTAAAACATCTTTTCTTCAGTCAAAAACGCTTTTTTTGAAATTTAATGTTTGGAATTGCAAATCTTGTTCAAATTTAAAGCAGAAACTCATACTTTCAGGAAAAGTCTGTGATCTTGCAAGAACTCTAATCAGACGCTGAGGAGAGATTCAGCTCCACTGGTTAACTGGAAAAAAGGTCAGTAAAAGTCTGATTGTAGTTACCATTATCACTGCTAAAAAATCTATATAAAAATTAATTTCAATAAGATATAAGAATACTCACTTGTTTATGGTAACAGACAGCTTGCTGAAAATTACCCAGCAAATAATGAGTATTCCCAAGATTTCCACATGCACGTCCTTGTGCAGCTGTATCGTTTAGCTCTTGCATGAGCTCCAGATTTTGCCTGTAGGAAAGTAAATTTCAAGATTAGTCAGTGACAGCATTTTAGACTTTGCCGATGCGCTCATCGTTATTTTTGAGACATTATCTATAAGAAACAACTCTTATACTTGCTCTAGCAAAAGTTTGCAACAGGCCCATTGAGAATTAAAGACAAGTATGACATAACGTTACAGGAGGGTATGGATTTGATCGACATGAATCGATCGAAAAATGAAAACATGAATCGATCGACAATTAATTTAAAAACACCCGTGTCGATCAAATCGACACGAATTGATCCAAAAATGAAAACGTGAATCGATCGACATAAATCAATCGACACCGTTTGATCGACAATTCACGTTTTAATTTTTCGATCGATTCGTGCCAATGGCATCCACACCCGTTTTTTAATAATTTGTCGATTGAATTGGTGTCAATTGATTCATGTCCGTTGATTCACGTTTTCATTTTTCGATCGAATCAACACCGCTTTTTTAACAATTTGTCGATCAAATCGGATCGACAGAAGCTGTGAGTCGATCAAATTTTGTCGATCGAATCGGTGTCCGATCGACAAGGATCATTCATGTTTTCATTTTTCGATCGATTCATGTCAAACGGATCGGCACAAGTGTTTCTAAATTAATTGTCAATCGAATCAGTATTGATCGAATCAGTGTTGGTCGAATCAGTGTGGATCGAATTAGTGTAGATCGATTCATGCCGATGGAATCGACACCTGTTTTTTAATAATTTGTCGATCGATTTATGTCGATCAATTCACGTTTTTAATTTTTCGATTGATTCATGCTGATGGAATCGACACCAGTTTTTTAGTAATTTGTCGATGGAATTGTTGTCGACTGAATCGGTTTTGATCCGATCGGTGTCGATCGAATCGATGTTGATCGAATCGGTGTCGATCGAATCGGTGTCGATCAAACTGATGTCCATCGAATCGGTGTCCATCAATTCACGTTTTCATTTTTCCATCGATTCACGTTTTCATCGATTCATGTCGATTGAATCCATACCCTCTGACGTTACAGTCATGGTGCATATTCTGTAAAAAGAGAAACACTCCTTTGAAGGTAAAAAATCATGCACAGCTATGTTTCCCTTCCAGAGTTTGGTTCTAAATAAGTATTTCCCTTCAAAGTGAGTATTTCTGTTTTTACTGTTATGTCATGTCAGCATCTTATTTCTAATCTTAGAGGTGCTTCATACCCAGCTCTTGTTCAATTAAGAATGGCTTAGCTCAATTCATGACTTGTAACTACTACTTGTTGAATAAGAAACAGAGAATTACATACTCGTAATAATGAATAGCGCTTTGGAGACAGACACGAACATCTTCTGGGTATTCTCCAGGATCTTGTTGGCCCATTTTGCCGATGTGTTTTCCTTTCGCATGATAGACATTGCCTAAATTGTACAAGGCTCTACCTTCACTTAGCTGAAACAGTAACAAGAGTTTTCATGAACAATTGGCAGGTCTTGCAGTGAACAGAAAAAACAAAAAGTTCAGCTAAGACAGGACATAGGACTAGGTACATTCCGCAGTAAAGAACTGATATTTTTGGGTCATTCATAGAAACACATATCAGCGGAGAGAAAATAATGGCTCATGTGTCAATTCTAAATGAGCCAGAAATAGCAGTGTAAAATGTAATCCAATTTATTCTTTGACACAAGGGTGCAAACAATTCCAAAATGCAATACAATTTAATTTCAGTATATATGATATAAATTTCAAAAACTCATGTCTTTCTTTTCCAATTAATTAGTTTAAGATGCGTATTGGACTACTTTGGAGTCCATCTTCAGTTCCCCACTGATCCGTTGCTGTTGATAGATTGACAATCTATGGGCGAGACGACAGGCCGGTGGCAAACTAAAAATTGACTCCGAATTTGTTCGAAATGCATCTTGAATTGACATACCTATTGGAAGAAAAAGAAAATAATTTTTAGCATTTACATTATATTATCATTATTTATTTGAAGATGCATTCAAATGTATTTTATTTTGACCAAAGGCTTTCCCGTTTTTTAAAGAAGTACCTCACATACTATACCTCATCAAACAGTGTTTTTCTTCATGACAGAATTTTGACTGTCTCCTATATACTACAAAGACAAATTGTCAAAAAAATTGAATCATCTTTCAAAATTCTTCATAACTATGTCATACCTAACATTCCAAAAAGGAGCGTAGCGGCAATACAAATTTTAATATTTTCATTGGAAGAAAGAAAAAAAAAAAGCATTACTCTCAGAGAAAATTGTTACAATAATGCTTAATAATTTTGACAGCAATATCGCCAGACAATGGGAATGAAAAATTGTGACGATATTGTTGTAATTGTTGCTGCAAATAAAATTCGCCAATATTGCAAGGAAAAAAGATTGCAGTTATAGAGGCAATTACAACACAATGAAAATTACATTCCGGCCAAAAAAATTGCACCTGCGCTGTTTATGTAAGTTATGACTTTTGATACTCATAAGTGCATTTTTCGAAAATATTTCTCCTTGTCTCAAACGGATTGTTGTTTCAACAGTGCACTTTTGAGGCAATACTGTTCTTCAGCTTGCGTGTACCTTCCAGGCGGTAATGTAGACAAAAATCTATCCATGGACTAAATTTTCTTTTAACTTGATCACCAGACAAAAGTGATTTCTTCTTCACCATACAGTTTGTGTGTTTCCTTGAGAGTGACATACTACAAAAGTGATCATACTAAAATATATACCAACCCGATCTTTTAATTCTCGAGATATTTCTAGGTGGCGCTTGCAACATATCATTGCTTCATCATACTGACCCATGACTTTTAAAGTATTGCCTAGGTTCCCACTTGACTTTGCTTCACCAAGTTTATCTCCCATTGTTCTGAAAGAAAACAGCGAAGAAAAGTTTAAAATTTAATTGATGAATGATACATCACTAATATCTTGCTGATAGTTCAAAATTTTTGCAAGAATGTAGCAATACAACAGACATTTAACAGAATTTCGTTGAGTTAAAATGTAATATTAAACATGAATTATTCAATTAAATTTTGTAAGCAATGTTGGAAATTTCACGATTTTTCATTTATGATCATAGGTAACACGTTATTCAATGTTCAAAGGGAGCAAAAATGGGTCAGTTGCGTTGGTTACAGAATAGCGTTTTGATGCTTGATTTTTGTAGATCAGCTAAAAATAATAAGATCTGTCCAAATGGCAGTTCTCTATGTTGAATTTTAACTGAGACATCACACTTTGAACAAGGTTTATGACGTCATCCACCACACTAGTGACATCCTTGGTCTCATCAACCTTGCTTTCATCCAAGTTTTGCGGTGAGTAACCAGTGCAAATATGTGTGTCCTCCTGACTGATGAAACTAAGGTGAAAGAAACCGAGGGTGGCACTACCGCGGTGGCTGACGTCATAAAAAGAATTTTTCAAAGCCCAATAACTCCATTAATATTGAACGTAGTAAGTTGCTGGTTGGGCAGATCTTATTATTTTTAGCTAATTTACATAAATCTAGCATCAAAACTAGATCTTGTGACCAGCGCAACTGACCCATTAGTCCTTATCATTAACTCAGAATTTTTTCATGCTTGAAAAATCTCAACACTACGCATTTAGCAAAATTTTTTCAAAAATCAATCTTTTCTACTTTTACCTCATTATTCGGAGGAGGCTGAGGGAAAAAAAAACCCTTGATTTCATCAGAAAATTTCTGAACACTCTTGCTTACTGATATTTTTATACCTTGCATAAGCTAGAGATGGCGAACATAATTACTTTCTGTACCTTTGCTTAACAGCCAAGGTTCTTAGGCAGCCACCAAATTGTCTTGACAGATTCCTTGTTCATTTTTCATGTATCTGTTTACAGAACTACTTGATCAAGCTCTGGAGAAACTCATCAAATTAGTTTCAATGTTTACTAAGGTCCGTACATAAAAATCACTGAATTTAATGAGGTTTAAGACTTGAGAATAAATGAGATTTTTCCACAGTAAATTATTTCAAGCAAGAAGGCATTACTTACCTTGCAAGAGTGAGATCGTGTTTATGATATTGCATTGCTTTGGCGTAATCTCCTAGGTAAAAGTAAGCGTTCCCCAGCTGACTGTAAATGGCGCTTAAAGTACGGAGGTCATCAGTGCCAGCTTGAATTGCTGCTTGGAAAAAAGCAACTCCTGCTCTACAGTCACCGGCTTTGCAAAGTCGCTCTCCCTCCAGCGCCAATTCCAAACACATGTTTCCTCCGTCAGCAACATCATGACTCTGTACACGCAGACAAAAAATTTAATTCTTGATAATGACACATGAAAACTTGAACTGAATAAAGTCAGATAGGGAATGTCCCTGAAGAAAAAAAAAAAAAAAAAAAAAAAACCATGAAAACTTGAGATGAAAAAGATCAAAAAAGAAATAATTACTTAGGAAGCCATATAAACTGGTTGCTTTTAATTTCGCAAGATTCAACCATTAAAAAAGTTGCTTGATGATTGTCTGAGTCCATACGCTATCATACAATCACAAGTTTCAAACTTCTTGATTTTCTTCGAGTAGAAAACAGTACTCATGATAAACTCGAAAACAGGCACAGTACCAACTACAGAAATATACCTTGAGTTACATTTGACCGGAAATAAAATAGTGGGTGAGAACAAATCAGCACAACAGCGATAGCGATGGCGTCATTAGGAATACTGGATGGATAATGGTTGAGAATTGAAACAAAATATAGCAGTAAATACCTGTCCTTCGGTCTCTTCTGAGGGAAGATTTTCTGTACTGACACTAAAGCTCATGATGGTTTGAGTTGCATTAACCTGATTTCAATTCAGTCATTAAATTCTGTAATGAGATAAAAACAGTTCAGTGATTAATGACAAACTTGTAAGTCGTAACACAGAGAGCCAAAGTGTAGTTAATGGTAGTGTAGTTTCTAGGAGTGCATTGCGGGGGAAAAAGTTATCTGAAGCCAGAACTACAAAATGCGATGGATAATTCAACAGAATCGAGGGAAGACGGACTGAAATACAATTCTCTTAGAAAAATCAAATCATCTTTGTTCGTAGAGCTTGCGTCAGATAAGATGCCTTTGCAAGCGCTCTGTCCAATTGCAACAGGGAATTGATCAAGGGCAACAACGCCCTAGTGCATGGCATAAACCTACAGCGGTGCACTGCGCAGGACATTTAAAAGTAAACAAAAATGGCTTAACTTATCCGACACAAACCCTTGAGATGTATTTATATTTCGCTAATTTTTTTGGTGATAAAATGACAGAAAATTGCCCATGTGTTTAAACGGTAATCAATGACTAACACAGAAACAATAGAATTTCTTGAAAAATTAGAGATTTTAGATTCAAAACCAGCCCCAGGTGAAAACCTTTCTTCTATTTCTTAATTGAAATGACTTTCCATTCGAGTCAAATAAGCCGAAGAGCATGATAATGTCAGACTTGGGTCAGCGCAGCTTCGTTGCCTTTACAACTTTATATCAAATGAAAATTAGGCATCTCAAATTCTCACGACTAACTCAATGGTTACAGTTGGATATAATTTGAAGAGCATTTGTATGCAACTGTGTATTCATTTAACACGAAGCTAAACAATTTTTGTCATGAATATGACTAGTGATTTACTTGGTAAACAATTTTAAACTGTAATGTACTCCAAAAGTAAATGAATGAGAAGAAATATTTTTGATTGGATTTAAGAAGTATCTTACTAGAATATATGATCAAGTGCGAAAAGTATAAATTGCAGTTAATTGAGGAAAAATACAAAAAAAAGCCACTCTGTATTTCGTTGTGAAGCTACATACTTATTGGATGGTTACACGTTAAGTCAGAAACTAATCCCGCCCAGTTCTGGTCATTGAGGGTGCGGAAAACATTCTTTCACTAATTTTGACTAAGGGTGGAGCTCTGATGTTAAATTTTGCTACGAAGAAAAAACTAATCTGGAAGCATTATCTCAGACTATGCATGGAGCTTCAGAATGATTATAATGAAAGAGACCATTCTGACAGATAAGGCTGGTTCGTCAAAGATATGAAAGTTCATGTTAGGTTTGTGGCCAACATTGCAAGAAATGTATACGAAATTAATCAAAATCTTTCCCTAAACTATATTATGCAGCTCAGTGAGTGAGAAACAAGAGACCTTACCAAAAATTACGGCTACATCCGGGCAGTTTCCACTAAAATGTTTCATAAATTAGAAGATGTCAACAACTTCAGGAAAAATAACTGAAAATAGAAATGGCATTGAAAAGGAGGTTGTCAAATTATATAAATCACGCATTCATTCTATACAATTATGTTTTAAACTTTGCGTAGTTTGACAACATTGTCCATGCGCAAACCGTTGGCCTTTCAAAACCCTCATCAAAAACCGGTGAATGCGGTTGCGCGGCAAATAAGGTTGTATCTGATGAGTTACAGAATATTCTTTTCGAACTTCAAGACTGGAGCCTTATTTGGAGAATTTCCTTTAATGCCACCAAATCATCTATGCTCAACTTCACGCTCCGCAAGCTTCCCCTCCCCCCTGTATTCCTTCACGGAGTCCAGATTCCAATCAAAGACTCTGCAAGATACCTAGGCGTCCATCTCGACTCAAAATTGACCTGGAAAAGCCACTTAATTGCCAAGCGAAAACAGCTCGATGCCCTATTTCATAAGTACTCCTGGCTCCTCCGAAGCCCCCTCCCTCTCTCCTCTAAGCTCCTCCTGTACAAAACAGTCATACGACCCTGCTGGTCATATGGCTCTCAAATCTGGTGCACTACCGCCCCATCCAATCTACAACCTCTTCAAACAGCGCAGAATAAATTTCTCCGTTTAATAACTGGCTGCCACAAGTACCAACTCGTTGACGTGATCCATAGAAATGCTCGCATTCCACTAGTCAAAGACTACGTAAAAGAACTGACTTTACGCCACATTCATCGATTGGAAGGCCATCGCAGCCATTTGGCTTTGTCATTACTCGACAACAGCGAAACTCAAAGAAGACTAAAAAGACGACACATACTCGACATATTCTTTACTGCAGACACAGGAGATCCTTAAGACATTCCCCACCACTTCATAGAATTCACCACCCATCAAAGAAACAAACAATTTCCAAATCACTATCAAGCTAAACCCTAAACCACACGTCGAGAAAAGAAATTTCCCCATAAAAATAAAAATCCTCGCGGCAATAGCACCCGTTAGGAACGGAACAAAGCAACTTCACTAAAGCTGAGTAAATTCAAATCACCCGCCCGGCTGTCAGCCAACAGGGAATCCCCCCCACCACCTCACCGACCTGGAAGGTCGTCAGCGAGGCCTCCCTCGCCTCGCCAAGCTCTATGAACCCCTGCGATTGGTAGTACACTCCCGATCGCCCCCACGCTATCACAACGCTACAACGGTCGCCGATTGGCCAAAAGCCAGATTGCACCATACTCAAACCAACAACAACAATTTTTTGTCTCGTTTCCCAATGAAATTGTGTGAATGTTTTATGTTTTACCTTGGTGACAGTTTCATTCATAAACCAGCAAGTCATACGTTAAAAATTTTCTCACCTAACAATGTGAGTAATCTAAATTCCCTTTATTTAAATAATGCCATAAGTGCCATAAGTTACTTACATATGCGTCCCAACTGTTCCTCTCTAAGCGAAACTTCTGCGCTTTAGTAATTTGTGTTTTTAAAGTCTGATCATCTGATGTTTTGGTTGGGTTGCAAGCTTAATTTAAAACAGTACATCAGTCTCCTTTCAACTGTACCTCGTTCTGGTAGTTTTAAGTTAGTCCCATGATATACGGACATGTGGCTTATAGTACGCTCTATCAATTTTCAAAATGCCCCATTATTATCAACAGTATCACTGGGCAAGTCAACGTTCGTTTTCTTCAAGTCTAAGATCTTGTTTTAGAAAGCCATGTACAATTCAGTTTTACTCAATTGTTTGCCCTTACTATGGAATCTTATATAAGTAAAGTAATATTCATTTCTCAAAGCGTTCTTGAAGTAAATGTATCAGTCTCTCAATTGAACATGAACTGGTCATATTGGCGAGGCTACAATTGTTTAATATCACAAACTACTTACCTAGGAAATAAATTCAATAATTGTGTAGAACAAGGGCAAGTTGTGTAATAGTATAAATTATATCTAGTTCTTATGATTTAATCTTGGTTCCAAACATAGAACTACGGTCGGAACATTACAAGTTTAAAAGTATTGGGTTTCTGTTCAGGGCCTGACTTTTCTTGATCTACATTTGACTGCAAATTGCGAGAAAATGACCGAATATCATCGGGGTAGAAATTCTTTATAGAGAGCGAATGCTCGACCTTTGAGCAGTTCAAGCCGACTGCAACTTACGCCCGGCTGGTCAACGAAATTCAGGCCCAGACAACCTTGATTTAATGATCCCTGTTATAACCTCCTCGAACATATCTTGCAGTCATTAATTATTTTTTTTTATTTTATTTCAGTTCATTCGTGGGGCAACGAGATGATTGAATTTCATGAGCCCATCCCAAAGAAGTTTCCTCCTGGAGCTCGTAGTCAGCCCTTGCCCATAATTGTCGGTGATCTATCAGAAGAAACAATAAAAAATCTGTGGCCTTGTTACATTGGTACACTTAAAGAAAATTGTGTGGCTGTAACCGAGGAGAATGATATCAGAGGCCTTCATAATGCGGTGAGTTCCTCGCCTGATTCTCTTGCGTGTTGCATTATCAGATACAGTAAGATCAGTGTTCGAAACTCGGCATGAAGTCTTAGCAGCCTTTGGCCAGCAACTTTTTCTCTTAGGGACCATCTCAGATTTCTCAGGTGTCAAAATAAAAAATTTCTCTTTCGAAATGCCTTGAGTCTGGAATACCCCATTGAATAGCCAAATGCCATATATGTTGAAGCCACATACAGAACCACCCAGTAATGTTACTACAAGACCCGATGCGTCACGAAACTTGACGAAGACGGCAGGGAAGAATTGATGACACATGATGTGTCACCTTGCAGAACTCGCCGAAAAATCCCAAAAACGATTTTTTAGCGGCTAAGGCTTGGCTGCTAGTTTCATTTCTTAGCGGCCGAAAACAATTTCTTACTGGCAAATTGCAGTTTGGCCGGCATGTGTTTCGAACACTGATAAAGACAAGTATGACATGACGTTCGATGTTTGTTTTATTCATTGTATGAATGCATGTTCATTATTTGTATATTGTATGTTTGTTTTATTCATGTTTCTGCTCATAACATTTTTTTTTTGCTACGGAAGAGTGAAGGTTTTAGCTGAAATCGAAGATATGATGACCTTACTAAATTGTCTCATCTTAGATATTTTATATATTTTCTAAAAAAACACTTGTCTGAGTATATCCTTAACATGTGAACCTGTTTGCTCATCATTGATGGCACAGATCTCTTGTGCTTTTGTGGGCCAAAGGTACATGATGATTGAAGATTGGGGTGGAGGGGGGGTCTAGACTCCAGGCGGCTTTCTCCAGAACATTTTATGAAAATTGAATCCCGTGAATTCTGTTTTAGCGCACATCGAACTGTATTTGTCATCAATTTCAGACTTTTTTTTTTTTTTTTTTTTTTTTTTTTTTTTTTTTTTTACTACTTCAAATAGCCCACAAGGGCTAATCCCACGCTTTAAGTCCCATCCCCCCTCCGTCCCTACTGAACCAGCCCCAGGCAACCATTGTTTGAGACCATCAAACTCGGGTCGCCTGGCCGGGAATCGAACCCGGGACCTCCCGATTATAGAGCAAGCGCTACAACCACTACACCATAGGAGGCCGACAACACCATAGGAGGCCGACAATCAATGCCTCCATTTGTTCATCAGTTTTGTAAAGTAACGAATTCAATATTGACTTTTTCCTTCCAATTTTGCTTTTTCAACTAAGTCGATAGAAAATCGACCCTCTCTCAGGCCTGATTTTTGCGTTTGGGCACCATGGAAACCCTCTAAGTACACCCAATCAGTATTGTCCGTGTCGTCAGTTTAAAATTAACTCTCTTTATTGTCATTAAAGTACGGATGAAAGTAATTACACTTTATTTCTGTATCAAATAGCAATCAAAAGTATGGTACCTATTAAGGGTACAGAAAATGACAAGGCTTTCCCAAGCTTCAATTTGACCTCTCTCAGTTTTGATCAATATTCATAAATATTTAATTCTAAAGACTTAAAATAAAATTCCCATTCCGCCCTCTTCTAAGTAAATCGCACTATTCCCTAGCTGTAACACCGCAATAATGAAAATTTTAAAAAAATCTGTCAGGGATCTTCCATTTTTCCAATTCTCACGGGGGCCCCTCCTCTCCACACTGTCTTTATGGTATCAAAACTGTTTCAATCTCTTTTTTTTCCGAGCTATGTTCGTAAGAAAATTAAGGGGGGAATCTAACTTTCGGCCCATAACGGTGACATTCGTTGAGCATAATGGGCCAGTTGCGTTGGTCACAGAATCGTGTTTTGATGCTTTATTCTTGCAGATCAGCTTAAAATATTAAGATCCCTCCAAACAGCCACTTTCTACGTTGAATATTAACCGAGATATCGCGCCTTGAAAAACTAGATTTATGACGTCATCCACTGCGATAGTACATACCATGTTATGCAATGCACTACTGCGGTGGGTGACGTCAAAATCCCGACTTTTCAAAGGACGATATCTCGGTTAGTATTCAACATAGAAAGTTGCTGTTTGGACAGATCTTCTTATTTTTAGCTAATCTAGAAGAATCAAGCATTACCACACTATTCTGTGACCAGCGCAACTGGCTCATTGAAAACAGCGGAAGAAATTAAAATTTGGCTGTCTTAATTTTGCAGGGGTTTTTCGGACGAAGTGCGTGCTTCGACAGGAAAAAAACCAAACCAACGGAGCAACCCACAAAACTAAATAGGCGCAGAAAGAACTGGGATCAGTTAATAATCTCCAAGGCAGCGCCTATTCTAGACGAGTGTTTGTCCGATAAAACACACGAATCGGGGGTGGAGAAGTCTTCTGAAAAGGAGAGTAGTAGCGCGATCGAAAAAACGCCCTCGAATGAAATCGTTGGTTCCGGAATGACCGTTGACGTCAGTGATAGCGAAGAAGAAGAAGAAGGGGATGCTACGGAGGAGGGTTTTCCAGATGATGGAATCATGGATGTTGACGAACTCGTCCAAGATCTGGACGGCTTTTCGGATGATAGCAAAGTGCTGAATTTAGATTTCGTGGAGGCATTTTTTCTAAGCTACGCCCTCGGTTGCTTGACAGTCTTCACCGACGCGGAAGATGCCCTGGACCATGCCCAGTTGTTCGCGACGTTCTCGAAAAAAGATGCGGATTTCGCTTACAAGTACGTGGCATATCACCATTTTCGCTCGAGAGGCTGGATCGTAAAGTCTGGAATCAAATTCGGCGGAGACTTTCGTAAGTATTTTCAGTTGAATTCAGAGTAGGAAAGTTGGATAGGGTAAAACATGTGATACGACAATATTTTGACTTCCAAGTAGACATATTTGCGTATCCGCACATTGAAGGACACTTTTGGCTGACGTAGAGACTTGAATGCACTATTAGAAAAGTCGAAAAGGGCGAAACGCGTGATACATCCAAGTAGGTAAAATTGCGTCACCATAAAATGAAGGAGATTTTTGACTGACGCAGGCACTTAATTCTTTAAACTTTTAAAACTTGTCTGTTGTGAGAACAGAACTTAGGTCGTAAGCACAGAGTACTCTGTTTGATGCTCTTTGTCGTAAAATATTGTCCGTTCAGCCTTTTTGAAACAAAATTTAGCAGCATTTAACAGATTAAGATAGACTTTCTCCCTTCGTCTCAAGTTCAAGTATTTTTACAGTACGGTTTTGCGTGTGCTTTATCACGTAGCTTGGTGTTGAAAGGAGATGTTGCATGCGTGAGGGATTTGCGATTTGACCATAGATTCTTATGTAAAAGTTCGCGAGAAACACGATGGTGCCACTGGTTTTCTCTGAAATCATCTCTCAAGCTCCAAAAAAAGCTCTCAAAGTGAGGCCAAAATGGAGGGGATATCCCACGCTATCCTGAGAGTCCACCTTTACATCAAAACAAACTCTCCGTGCATAGATAGGGAGCAAATACATCAGCAGGGTTGCCACTTTATTTGGGGACTCCAAAACTGAAAACACGGCAACCATGCCAATGTATTTGCTCCCTATCTTTGCATGGAGAGTTTGTTTTGATGTATAGAGGTGGACTCTCAGGGTAGGGTGGGATATCCCCTCCATTTTGGCCTCAACTTGAGAGCTTTTTTTGAACTGGATAGATGATTTCAGAGAAAACCAGTGGCACCATCGTGTTTCTCGCGAACTTTTACATAAGAATCAATGGTCGAATTGCAAATCCCTCACACATGCAACATCTCCATTATCTGGGTTTAAAACAACGAAAATTTTCGTTCCTCTTTCCAGTTCTCTACAAGCAAGGGCCGCCGTATTACCATGCATCTTTCATAATCGTCATCGACAAAAGGGATTCGATGTCGTGGACCACTTTGATGGGATTGAACAGGTTGGCCGGTTCCGTTAACAAAGAACTCATCATCGCATCAGTGTCGATTCAGGGAGAAATAACTTTAGAGAATATGTTAGCAGCATCCATAACCGAGACCCTTTACAGGAGGTGGGTGCCTACCAGTGAGGTCGCTCCGTCTGGAAGCTGATACCACATCAATTGAAACTCACAGGTGTTTTCAAACTTAGCAAGAAATCTGCATCGCTTGACACACCTTTTAATGTGTTGTATTTGTAAAATTTATAAAATTTTGTAATTTTATCTTACTCCGGCGAATCGTTAAAAAAAAAATTGTAAATAGATGTACGTAGAAAATAAGGAGAATATAAATATAATACAACAAAAATTTAATTCGATTAAGTCAATGAACAACGTGTGATTCTCTCGGTAGATACCGTCCACTTTCAATTCGTTTTCAATTTCCCGAAAATCAAACCTATAAGGAACCACAAATAGGATTCTTAATTAAGGGATAGGTAATTAATGATTTTTGGTGTTTCAATTTTAAGGTTTTGATTAGTTTAATAATTTTGGTTACATATCGTATCTCCTCCAAGACCAATAATATGTATAAGACAAAATGTTGAAATTACCCCTATAAACGTGACCTCACATTTATCTCGCCCGATAAACTTGATCATCGAGCAGGGCCGGATTTAGGGGGTGGCCTAATGGGCCGGGGCTCATGGCGGCAAATTTTGCAATTTTTCTGAATGTAGGTATACAAAAAAAAATCGGGTTCAGAAAACAAATTACGAAGAGAAACGGCGACAAAATCTCTCACTTCCTGAGAGCATAGTAATTTCTAATTTTGTCGTCTTTTGGACAGCACCTCTAATTAGAAGAGTTAAGAGAGAAACCAAACACGCAATTTGGACTGGAGCGGCGCGGCGAGGCGCAGAGAGCAATGATAACGAGGACTTGATATGAAAAACAGAAGCCCGCGGCGCTGCGCGGCGGTCGACATGTAACACACATTAGCGCCTACAAGACTGCATGAACACTACACGCATTACGTCAAACACAATGCGCTCAGCTCAGCGATCGGCGTGAAACGCATAGCGCCTACAAGACTGTAGGAATACTTCAAGCATTGCGTCAAACACGGTGCGGTCAGCACGGCGGAAGTTAAAATTGGACGGAGTTAAACAGAAAGGAACCAAGCCACATCGGGATCGAACCGAGAAAAAGAGGTTTCAAGTTTGGCTCCTGCATAAGACTCAATGTAAAAGATAAACTTCAAGTTCTGTTTCTGCAAAATTTGCTCCAACAAAAGCTTTGAATTTTTGGCGATAGATAGTAGAGCAGTGGTTGAGTTCAAAACCACTCATAACTCAATTTTTTCCACAATGTGGGTTGGTTCCTTTCTGCTTAACTCAGTCCAATTATTAAACCACATTTATTTTTGTTCTTTCATAATTTTTTCGTTCATTTCTTATAAATGGAAGGCCTCGTCTACACAGAGATAGGTTTACGGAACTTGCCTTTCGCGCAAAGTTCCGTGAACTTTTGCCAGTAGCGTTGCCGTGTAGAACAATCACTTATCTCTCATTGATTTCTGAATTCATGCAAGACGTATGGTCTTCTCGGTATCATCTACTTTGGGTTCGCCTTCTATTTTGCCACTACTCACCACTACTATTAATTCCATTTATTCGAGAACCCACATTTATCTCACTCGATCATCAAACCAATGAACGATGATTTGAACTCTCTCGGTGAATACAGTTAATGGTGAATAAAATATAGTGAACTTATTTCAATTTCATCAATGAGTAATTCAATAATTTCGCAATAAATTTCAATAAGCCATGTCCCTTCTTTCAATAAATAGGCAACCTACACAACACTTCGACGCTGTAGCAATCATTTTATTATGTAATTTCAGCTCATTGCTGCTTGGGATAGAAGACACTCCGTAGGTATTCAGCATGATTTTGACAATAGAAAAATATTTCGCAATGTTCAAGGATGTTTCTTTCGATAAAGCTCTTGTTGTTGACCAGTCATTGAAAATTTGATAATCGAAAAATTCACAAATCAGACCCACACCTCAAAAATAATTAATTTTGCTCACAGAGAGATGGGAGCATCCTGCTAGCGACTTCGCACGGCAGCAGACGTTACTGTGAGCTCTGAGTGAAGTTGTGAAGAGCGTCAGCGGCGCTTTCAATCATTATTTTAATACTAAACTAAACTTATAAACTTATACTTAGGTACTTACTTTTTTATTTAATTTTCAATTCAAAATTCGCAATACTGAGCCGGATGAGCGGGATTTAAGGCAATTATCGCGACGATATAGAAAACAAAAGCGGATCTAGCAATTTGGCAACACCGGGTTTCCTACATTTAAACTTATGTTAAATAATTGATTCTTGTCGGAGCACCTGGCCCCTCCATGAATCGATACATTTCCATTGGTTTAAATGGAGAGAAAACAATCATTTCCATTGGTTTTAATGGAGAGAAAACAATCATTTCCATTGAATTAAATGGAGAGAAAACAATGTTGCCATTTGCTGGATCCGCTAATGGATAGAAAACAATGTGGTCGTCCTGTTTGGAGAGGCGAGACTATCTGAAAACTGTTATTTCGTGCCCTGAACATGACAGAGTAGAATTTTAGCTCTCCTTCAAAACTGGATTTTTTGCAGATGAGGGATTGGTTACCAACGCAATTTTCGCCCGAAGCCGAAAATCAAAAATGGTCACGTGAAACTGGAGAAATGAGATAGCGAAGATGGATCCCTCTTCCGCAAGAAACGTAGTTTTTTCTGATCTACCATGTTCAGGTCACGAATTTGACCCGTCGTAAATTGAGGCGTCTAGAACCAAAAGAGGCAATCTCCACTGCCCTGTCCAAAAATTGTGTGATCATATTAATTTTCTGTGCGGAACAACCAAAACGTCTAGCTGTTAAATTTTCTAAATCTTCTCGCTTGACAACAGAAAATTCTCGAGAAAACATGAACGTGGAGACTTTCAATATCTTTCATTATTGAAATTATAATGATTGCACGTTTTTTTGAACATGACAACTAGATTGCCGCGTTTGTTTCTAGACGCCTCAATTAATCTCTAGGGCTATGGAGAGAACCTCCAAATCTGATTTTTTACCCCAATTCTGCAAAAATCGCTCTACTGAAACTTTCGCTTCCGTTGACCAAGGTCCATTTTCCAGTCGACGGTCACATTTTGATGACTGAAATGGAGAAACGCATTTTTCAGATTTCGACGATAAAAGTCTCAGATCATGTTTTATTTTTTAAAGGAGAACCAGTCGACAGTTTCTATTGTGATGCTTACTCCATAAAAATAATTTTGTCACTCATTCTAAACAAGTCATAGAAGATTTCAAGGAAACATTTTGCACAAACTGATTGCGGTAGACACACAGGTCGTAAGAAAGTAAGTTGGAATGTTTCAGCCAACGTGCTTGAAAAATTCAGAAAATTGGAAATCTCAATACAGAGGGATGAAGCTCATATGAGCACAATTTTCCTTCAAAGAGATACGCTGTTTGGTGCAACACTAGTTACGACCACTCAGAAAGGCAACTGCAGACTCGTTTCGGGTCTAATAGGAGAATTTGCAGGTGTCTTGAATTTGATGAATGTCGTGTTTAAGTGGAATTTACTGAGGAAACTTTTTTTTTTTTTTTTTTTTTTTTTTTTTTTTTTTTTTTTTTTTTTTTTTTTTTTTTTTTTTATATATATTTATTAAACATATCAACTTCTGTACAGAAATAAGATATTTAGATGTAACTTAAAAATAAATAACGGTTATCGACTGAAAATATATACAACTATACAGACTTTTTCCTAACTTGGATGCCCTGGGACGAGCATCGCAGAGCCCATAGAGAACGGTATAGTTCCCGGTATCTGCGGTGTCCGACCCCGAACAACCGGAACAGCATTATACTAACCACACAGTGATGAGTATAAACCTAACATTTAACAGTGAAATTTTGATACCATATACTTTGTACAGGAAAAAGAAAAAAAAAAAAAATTAAGACATACTAAGAATAATACCAAACATATCACTATAGTTTAAAGCCACCCTCAATCAAGGGATTTTACGATGATATATGGGGGTTAATCGGGTACTACGGTTGCCAGCTCAAAGGGTTTGCGCCTTCTGAGCCTCCGTAGTTCCTCACTGTTATCTAGTAATCTGATGGCTTCCTCATTAGGATGGGCCAAAAGTCGTTCTTCGTATCTGGTGGCTGTTCGCCGAATTACTGCTCCGACGCTCTCAATGCCGAGGTCCCGATGGATGTCAGAGTTCCTAACATACCACCGCGCCCCCACCATCCGTCGCAGAACAGAATTCTGGGCCCTTTGAATTATTTTAATGTTAGAATTAGCCGCACACCCCCAGAGCTGGCAGCCGTAGGACCACACTGGCCTGAGGGCCTGCTTATAAAGGAGAACTTTATTATCTAAAGATAAATTGGAATTACACCTAAGAAGCCAACGCATCTTAGAGTTTTTTATCATGAGCTCACGTCTCTTTTTCTTGATGTGGGCTGCCCAACGCAATTTAACGTCGAGTGTTACACCAAGATATCTGGCCTCCTCTGAGCATCCAACAGGTCTTCCATCAAGCCAAATTGGTGGAACCAATCTCGGCAGCCTGTTGTAGGTAAAGACAATAAATTGAGATTTTTGGCTGTTGAGAGCAGAACGCCATTTTTTGTTCCAATCAACTATTTCGTCTACTCCTTTTTGCAATCTTGATATAGATTGACGGAGAGTTTTCCCTACTACTGAGGAAACTGAACACGAAGATGCCCTTGGTTCATGGATATTGAACAATTTTTGGAGGAGATATGACAAAATGATCTAACCTGCTAAAACACGTGTGTTTAAATGTGAAATGACCCTAAATGACGTCTCTAGGCGGTGCATTTTCTCACTTTCAAATCTATTTTTATACTATTTCCCATATCAGAGAAAAATCATAAAAAAATACTGCGAAATGAGCTCTTTAAGCACTTTCAGTTGAAGCAATGCAAATTTTCCTGCAGCGCAGCCTCCAGAATTTTCTGCTATTATTAATTGGTAGCAGAAAATTCTGGTGGCTGATGCGCAGCACCGAGCAAGGTCCTAATTAGACCCGAAACGCGTCTGCAGTTACCTTCCCGTTCCCGAGTGGTCGTAACTATAGTGTTGCTCCAAACAGCGTGTCTCTTCGACGGAAGATTGTGCTTATATATGAGCTTTTTCCCTCCGTATTGAGATTTCCAGTGCTCTGGATTTTTCACGCACGTTAGCTAAAATTCCAACTTCTAGCTAAACTTCCTAATTCCAACTCACTGAAACATTTTGATTAGGTAATAGTCCATGTAGAGAATAAAA